AGATTAAACTACAGATGTTTGAAGTACACTTGTAACAAAGAATGCACTTTGTTCTTTAAGAAAACATGCTGCTGATTGTAGTAATATCAGATGTTCTGTTTTAAAGCAGGGGGTTCTATGGAAGCGTATGTTTCTGATTCCTTTTGATCAGTTCAAAGAAATAACTGAAGCAGAAATACATTAAAAAAGGAAGTTGAGATGTGCATGTATGGACTTCCAGAATGATTTTTATTGTTATTTTTAGTTGCAGTGCTCTTTAAGGTGTTACTTGGGGATCTCCTGTTACAGATGGTACTGTGATCAGTAACTTTTGCACATAACAAGCAGCCTTCTTCTGAAAAGACACAACTTTGAAACAGGCTTGGCCTGCTCTCTGATAAGAGAGCTATATCCAATCTAATGTTAGAATTAGCTTAGCTGGGGCTGCATGTTTTGATTACATATTGATACATAGGTTTCTCTTTCGTTGCAGGCACTAACTGATCAACAGCAGTTTGGCAAGGCTGATGAAATGTATGATAAATGCATTGATCTTGAGCCAGACAATGCCACTACGTATGTTCATAAAGGGTATGTATCGAGTTTGCAATCCTCTGGGTCAGGGGCAGTTGGCATATTTAGTTGAATCAATCCAAACTGAAGGTAGGTGTTGAGAAGTTTAGCCAGAAGTGGCTTTGCAAAAACAACTTGGTGCTGTTGTTTCTGCAGTTTCTCTTGACGGAACTGGAAATGAGATTGAAATTTCAGTAAAGTTTCATCAATAATCATTCAATTGAGTATCTGCTTGAAGTGTATCTGACTGTCACTTTAACCACATCTTAACGTCTGCTGTGCTCTACCCTTAAATGTGATCTGGGTTATGGAGAATATGTGAAGTTCTAAATTTTCTCTTTTTCTTTTCAGTTTACTTCAGCTTCAGTGGAAGCAAGATTTAGACAAAGGTTTAGAACTCATAAGCAAGGCCATTGAAATTGATAACAAATGTGATTTTGCATATGAAACCATGGGAACGATTGAAGTGCAAAGGTAATAATGAAGCGCAGTGTTAAGAATTCTGAGTTATTTTTGAAATACAGCAGTTCTTTAGCTTTCCCCACAGATCTTAAACCTTTCTTAAGATCATCTCCAAGTGCAGTGAGAGGCCAGTTCTTAACTGTTGTCTTGATTACTGTTCTGTAACTCTTGGGCAAAGCCTTGCTTTTATTTGTGGCATTGTTTTGGTTTATGATCTGGCCAATTTCATACTTACTGGATAGCGTGTAGATGAGTCTGTGTGTTTAAATACATCCCTTCTGCATTTAAAATTACTTCATTAATCCTCATTAGAATTCCTATGTATCTGATGTAGTCCTTAAACCTACCTTAACAGACTATTTGTACTGAGAGTCCTGAACTGTACACCCAAACCTGACCGTTCGGTTTCAGAAAAGGTGCTGCAGAGATGCAGAAATTAATTTGCTGTTCTTAATTGGACAATGTTTTGGTTTATTTCAGAGGTAATCTAGATAAAGCCATTGAAATGTTCAACAAAGCTATCAACCTGGCCAAATCTGAAATGGAGATGGCCCACCTCTACTCGCTCTGCGATGCTGCCTACGCCCAGACAGAAGTTGCAAAGAAGTATGGATTGAAACCACCAACACTGTAAAAACAAACACAAAACAAACAAGAGGAGGAAATGACTTCACTTTAGAAGTTGCCCACTTCAGTCAGCCCTAAAGACGCTGTTGCAAACCATGTTGAATGGTGGAACTTAGTTTTTTCCCGTTCGTGGTGTTGTCATTTGCTACATCTGTTAAATGTTTAGGTGTTGTGGGAATGGTTATTCAAGGGAGTATGCACTGTTGCATCTTGTTTCTTCTGCAACAAAAACCTTAAAGCATTTTAAGGGGAAAAAAAGTTGCAGAGGAACAAATGGAAGATACTTAGGCCATGCAAATAAAAACTTTATATTGGTTCATTTTGAGTGATTACGTTATGGGTGATTTTTGCTTTACTAAATAATATTACAGCATGTTTTTTTTTTTTCCCCTGTTGATTTTAAAGGTAATACTAGTCAGTGCTGTAAAATAGGTATCTCTTTTATATTAATTCTTGAGGGTTGATTTTAATTTTGCAAAAAGGAAAAAAAAAACAATTTACAAACTGTTTGTTAACAGATTTTTTTCTTTTTTAAAGCCAGTAGCTGTGAAGAGAATTCTGTAAATATATGCAAGCATGCACAATCTTCCCTTAAAGCCCTTCCTACCCTCTGCATTACAACTTAAAAATAGTCTTGTGGCAGCTATTAGGGAATTAATTTGATAGTCCTTATTCTCACTCCAGAAAGCCCAGGTGTCCATGTAGGAGAGCTAGTACAAAGGTTTTTTGGGGAAAGAGGCTAGGTAATGCTACTTTACTGCAGATTTTACTGGAAGAGATGCCATGTTCCTGTGCAGCAGTCCTTACTTGAATGTCACAAGAAATTGTTCTGTAGGGTTCTGAGAGACTTTCAAGGATAGAAAGCACTGCTGGGAGTGGAGCTGCCAAGGTGCGGTCATGCTTGCTTGTGATCTCTCCATTGCTGAAATCTAAGAGTTCATACAACTGTCTAAATTCTCTTCTTTGGTCCCTAGAGACTTCTGCTCTAATCCTTGTAATAGCCCTCTGCGGGATTAAGTGAGATAAAGAACAAGGCATAGTCTAAACCCTCAAATCATGGATTCAGAACCTTTGCTAGTTCCCTTGTTCCTCAGGCCCTGTATTGTCTAAGATTACAGATACTGAACAAAAGAAGCAACTGTTTGGCAAATAGCAGGTTGGCAAGTTACTACTAGCATAAACACTCATCCTCTAACTATGAACTTCAGTGAGCACTTCTCTGCTGTTTTGGGTTGATCCATCTGATACTGTAGTCAGTCTGTGGTGCCTCTCCCTGGGCTGATGTGGCTGGATAAAACTCATGCAATTATGTAATTGATGTCGCTTAGTTTACCATACATTGATCTGTGCTTCTACCCGTTCTAAAATCATAGATTTGCTTGTGTTGAATTTTCTAATGTATTTCACCTCCTAAAGAAATGAACCAGACTGCCATCTAACTGTCTTGTTCTCTCCTTGTGGCACTCCATAGCAGCAGCTTGTGTTTTCAACTTGACCTACCTTTCTTCCAGCAAAAACAATTGAGAATGGAAATGGTGAACCGTAGATGTGGAGAGTTAATCTTTGTATTTTAGTTAGCTTACTGATGTGATCCGAAATCGTGGCGTTGGCATAGAATTGAAGGCACTGGAAGGTACTTGCAGCTGCTAAGGACATTGTGTGTAACAAGTGTCAAATGCCTTCTGGAACTTGCTATCTCTGCATCAGTTCCTGCATTTGTTCCCGAGAACAAAACTATGCCATTCTGACCGAGTTGTCCTGTTCTCCCGAGGAGTTTTTATTTGCATGGCCTTATTTACATTGGCTTTTTCTCCTCTTCACCCTACTTTTACCCCGTTCCTGTCCCCACCAAACCAATTAAGGGAAAAAAGCATGTGCTCTCAAATACTAGCATTCCAAATCATCACAGACTCTTGCCTGTTCTTGAACTAGTTTGAAACTGCACTGAAAAGGATGCATTGTCTGTAATTTTTTTGTAAATGACGTATCACCTGTAAACTGAAGAAAAAAAAAATAAATATTACCTTCAAGTATCGTTCTCTGACATGAATAAGAGCAGGTTTTGATGGAAGTGTTCTCTGCACTTATTTGGGTCACTCCGGATCTAGGAAGAATTAATAACTGACTGCCTCTCATCTCTCACCTGAGCCTTGAAGAAAAGATGGAGACATGGAATGAAGGAACCTTATCTCTGATTGCTACCATCCCCTGCAGAGGTATGATCTGGAGGGCTGAAGCTTGCAGGGAGATAGGAGAGCTGGGAATCTGAGTAGCTGACACCCTCTTCACATGTGTGCAGTTAGATTCTGCTCAGGCTCCTCCAGGGAAAGGGAATTCATTTCTTTATTGGCTGATGTGTGAGGGTTTGTTTTATGCCAGGTATACATGTGAACTTGCCTTGAAATGCTTTTTTTTTTTTTTTTTTTTTAAATAGGGGTTGAGGGCTACTGTTGAAACAATTATTGCTGCTATTTAAAGAAAAAAACAGTGAAGTCATGTAGGAAGTTAGTAATGAAGGTCGGGATAGACACTGTGTATGGTAGAACCTATGGGAAGTTGGTTCTTTGCATAGTTGTTATGCATCTTAATTCTGATCACATATAATTCCTGCTGTTTGTGTTAAGATGCAGAGGTTAGTTTGCCAAAATGGAGATTAAAAGCTGTGCCTTGATTTAGTAGGATCTACTTTCACAGCCATTTCAGAGCTGTTACTGGCTAGTTTTATATGTTTAACAGAATATTAGTGCACATGCAAAAAGTGGATGCTTTAAAGTGCCTGTCTCCTGCTAACACAGAATTGAGTACTGGCTGCTTTAGCTACCTAGCTGAGAACCAGTTGTGTACATTTTGTTTGCAAAACCCTCTCAAGTTCACAGTCCATTGGTATCATTTCTGAGTGACTGAGTAAATTTTCCTGGAGATTCCCAGTGCAGCCTCCTAGGACAAGGTACTTACAACTCGACCTGACAAATAAGGCTGAGCTCACATCACCTCTTCAGCTTTGTTCACCAAAGTGGGCCACTACACATTTTCACTTGTTCTGTCCATTTGAAATTCCAGGGGAGGATCATCCATGCCACAGATTTTGTTTTATTGCCTGTTTCAGACTGGATCTTACATCACCGCATTGAAGTGGTTAGCTGTTGAGAGACCTGCATTTCTTTTATCCTCCAAAGATGAGTGTTCCATTTTGCTGTATATTAGCATAGTGTAGGGGTGGTAGGAAAGATGTGGTAGTTCAGAAGGATATATAATAGCTGGTGTGGTTTAGAAGTCAGACCCCTGTGATGGCCTTTCAGTAGTGTTGATTGTTATGTATGTGACAGGCACCAATTTAATGCAGTAAATCTGACTCCATGTTAATTTTTCTGTATTTATTTTTCAACAAATAAATTTTCATTTCACCTTACGCTCCATGGCGTGTTTCTTAAGAGTTCCATTACGGTGTGTAGACCAAAATGCTGAGAAAGCACAGGCACAGAAGGCTGCTGGAATAGATAATGCCACTGAATGGAATGATGGACCTGCCTTTTAGGGGAAAGACTTCTTAGGGTTTAACTTAATGTAACCATTAATTCCCCTATAGGTGGCTGGGGCCTCTGAACAACGCAGCTGACTAACCCCGGAGAAGTCAAAGGAATATCAGAAAGAGGATAGCTGTGGGAGAAGGATGGCTGAAGAAGGAACAGGTAAGATGGTTTGGGGCACAAGTAGCTAGATAGAACAAGACAAAAGCTTTCAGCTGTCCTCTTCTGTAATCTGAAATCTCCTTTTGCCTGTCGATCATCCTTTGTGTTGGTGGTAAACTAAAAGCACAGAGGTAAAGCATGAATAGTCATATATGCTTCTTTTTGCTTCCCACTTAAGGAAAACATTTGCCATCAGCAAATACTTTGCTTTTTCATTAGAAATGGAACCACTAAGGTGCCCTCCTGAGAAAAAATCTCTTACAAAATGCAAGACTGCCTTTAAGTTCTTTAAAGCCATCTTTAACCAGTTTGCTGGTCTCTTAAGCAAGAGCAATGCAGTGAGGAACATATCCACGCAGCTGGAGGGAGCTGGCCTTTGGTAGCAGTAATGCTTGTAGATGTTTAGTGATACAGGTATCTGCATTCTATGACACTGTGGATGGAAAGGCAACCAATTTTCCAACCGTTTTGATTGACCCCTCAGCCTTTTCAATAGAACACAACAAGAAAGCGAAACTAAAACCAATTCAGACATTACACTCAGGAAGCAGTAATAGAGCAAGGGTGTGGTGACAAGTGAGCTGCTCTGACAGAACAGTAACATCACTTCAGCAATAAGCAGGAATTGTATTAAGAATTTAATACAGATATTCCAGCCAGGATCTGTTAAGATTCTTGCATAGTAACAATTCTGTTTGACTGCTAATCACATTATCTTTAAGTAGTTCCGAGTGAAATTTGGCCTATTTTGCTTAGTGTGTTAAACTTTAAGCTTGCCTGGATTGAAGTTGGGCATTTAAGAAACTCAGAGTCATTTAGGTACTGATGTGGAAGTCATACCTGTAGAGCCCCTGATAATTCAGAGAAAAGTTCATAATACTAAAGCTGACTTCAGAGGATTTCCAGAGAGAACATAATTCCCACCTCTCTACATCCTAAAAAAAAAAACCCTCAGAAACTTAAGAGCAAAACAAACAAAAGTATCTAAATGCAGTAATGACTAAAAAGATTAACTGCTATTTAGTTGATTTCACCTCCAGCTTCATCCTAGCTGTTTAATACTGTAAATTAAAGTTGTACTTCAGTCAATTTTAGAATTATACCAGTAAGTCATTTTGCCCCTAATCAATTATCACAGTAGCCTGTGGAGCAACCAGTAAGGGAATCCTGAAGATGGAAGCAGCAGCTACTGTGCAACTAGAACCTTTCCTGTTCACCCAGCTTCACTTTTTCATCTCTATGCCGTAGAGATCATGACGCTTCTGGCTTAAAATAGGAATTTGTTGACGGATTTCTGCAAGTTTCTTCAAATCTGAAGGAGAAAGAAAGCTATTACAACAGTGGTCAAAAAGGACTTGCTGACACAAGGCAGGAAGAGTGCTGCTTTCATGGTGATTGAGTGCAGGGCACAGCAACTGGGCAACCAGGAAAGAAGCCTCAGCTTTGTTCTTTCCTAAGGTGGTAGCTTCCTCATAGGTAAAGAAGCAGCAATAGTCCAGTCCTGCTGATGCTTGTTCTTTCCTCTAGTAAAGTTTGAGAAGGGATGGCAACACTGCTTCAGCTGGAACTGGGTGAATAAGGCCAGACAGAAAAAAAACCAAACCAACAACCTGTCTCTTTAGTCTTATGCAGGACAAAAACCTTTGCTTACCGATATCTGAGTAGATAACTGTTTCCTCAGCCCCAGCTTTGGCTATGACTTCACCCCTGCAACACGAAGCACATTTGTTCACAGCATTAACACAATCTCAAGGCATCAGATCAGCTGCTGCTGTTTGTATAAAAGGGAGTTCCTACCCTTGATGTCCACAGCTGTAGACACAGGGCTGTCCTAAAAACAGCATCATAATTCTTAACTGTGTGATAGAAATAGCTTCTATGCTTTACACGTGGCACATTTTAAGTGTGGCATATACACATACTTAATATAAGCACATTTCCAAAGATCAAAAATAAGAGCACTTATGAGAACTAGTATGTGAACGTGGAATATACCTCAAGGGGAAGGAAGCAATTTCACCAGGAAGAACCATCGACAGCAAAGATTGGCACTTTCTCCTTTTAGATCCCATCAGCTTTTAATAGGAGCATACATTTACACACTTATGTGCCCCATTAGGTGCTGTTGTATTCAACATAAACTTTCTTTGCAGTTATCTAGAAGAGTAATATCAGTGGAATGATTTATTTGGAAGAAAAGTAACTGTCAGAAAACTTGGTTTACCCAATTACCCATGTGCAAGGGGAAGAGTAATTGCTGCTTAAGTGAAGTGAGGTCTCATCTAGTTGAAGACATCCTTCTTGTTCTTTCTTAGGTCAAACTGATGTTCTTTGAGCAAATTAAATGCTTATATAAAAAGTTAAGATGGCTCTGTTCTACACAATTACCCCCATACATGGTACATAAAGCAAGTTGAAAAGGGCAGCAGCTTAATTCGTGCTTAATACTACTAAACTGGCTATTGTGCTTCCTACTGGAATGTGTGCTGTTAAACCAGTTTTAGTTTAAAGCTGGTTGGCTGAAAAACAAAAAGAAAAGGATGATTTTTTTTCTTTTTAAGAGTAATTGGAAATGTGGGACTGAAGTGAGACTCAAATAAAACATTTAATAATTTTGTTGGTTTTTTTCCTGAACTCACCATGGATTTACTACGGTGCTGTGTCCCCAGGCAATGTAGGATGCTTTTTCATCTCTAGCAGGAGATACAGTAGCTACGTAGACTTGATTATCCACAGCTCTGTGTTCACAAAAAGACGGGGGAAAGGAGGGAAGAAAATGAGTAGCCTTTTCCCCTCCCCTCCTTTCCCCTATGCCACCAATTAACCAAGCAGAGGAGTCAGAATTCCTGCAGAAGGATGGGCTTTTCAAAATCATAAAGGACACAAAGTTTAGAGGCAGAAGTGGAAGGAGTCTCTGCTGCCTGCCCCAGAGTTAGTGGACAGAAAGAATTACATGCTAGTTTAGTATGCAGCACAACTGATGGAGGCAGACCAGGTGATTAATACTGCCTATTTGGGAGACTCAGGATCTATTTCTGTCTGCATTTAAAGCAGTTCTGACATCATTGTTCCTGTCTGTTGGCCATTCTGTGTAGAAATTTCTTTGTGAACAGTGCTCACAAAGCCATGGGGAAAAGGTCTTTGTGAGGGCACAGCTGCAGTGGGAAGAACAGGAGTGAAGGATAAGCAGTTTCTGCTTCTCTCCCTCCCAGCACAGTCATTTTGTCCCATGAAAGACCTGAGGAACTGTAAAGTTCTGACAGCATAGGGCTCCTGCAATAGAAACAGTTGTTTCACACCCAAACTCCCTGCTCAGTTACTTTGTTCTTACCGTCCCCTTTGTAGCAGTTCCCAATGAGCTGGTCCCGTTGTCATATTAAAAGCCCCTGGATATATCAGCAGCTGGCAACCTTTGTTAAAACAAAAGCAGAACCCACCCATCATTAAGGAGAAGAGGGTTTAACCTACGGTGACTGCACATAGAAGCTTGAGGTCAGCTTTGTTGGTTTTTTTTTGTTTTGTTTTGTTTTTTTCCCCTGACTTTTGCCAGGAAACAAATAGAGCCCATCGGTGCATCACACAGATGATTACACCAACAAAGTGCTACGATACATTGCAATTGTGTGGGGCCACATACATCTCCATGTAGCAGAAAATGACTGTTACTTTACTCAAGGAGAGTAGATATTCATTTCAATAGCAAAATCCTGTCCATAAGCTGCAGCTTGTGTTAATGGACAAGGAACACACAGGGAATCCTTGTTACGTTACACGCAACCCCCTTTAGTTCAGGCCTTAGGGCTAAGCATGACCCAGCCTTACCTTTCTGTCCGTAGATTTGAGCCAGCTCAGCAAATCTGATGTCGTAGCAGATGCCCAGGCCCACTTTACAGTATGCTGTTCTCAAAACACCAGAAATAACAGCTGTATTACTGTCACATGCACAGAAAAGAGGTATTCATCTCTGATTAGCTGCAAGCTTTTCAGTGGTAAAGAAAGCACTCCTTGTGCTCCACGGACCAAAGCTACAGTGGCATACTTTCTTAGGGTGTGCACATTACCAGGAGGAGAAAGTCAGTGTGAGTCAAGACTCTTAGGAGATCTAAGTTAAGGGTCTGTGTTGATTTCTGAAGATGGGATGGGGGTAGCAGGCTTGTTTGAATCTGATGTAGTTGATTCAAGGATGTTGGGATAGGATTTACAGTTGATTGCCTTCATTACAATACCATCCTCACATGAAACAATGTGCCGAAGGCTTGTCTTCTACTCACGAGTATCAAACATGGAGAAACTATCCCCTGGACTCAGTGTTTCAGACTCCTTGAACTGTATCTTCCCAGGAACATTAATGTCAAACAAATGAATCTGTAATTACAATATTATTAATAACAATAACAATTTATCCACTTGGTGTTGCAGCCTTTTCCTATGTGACACGTATGATAGTCACTGTAATCTGGATTATTCTTTTAGCAAGATCCCAACTAAATATTGCTGAAGATTACAAGAGCTTCTAAGGATGATTTAAAGCAGTTTTCTTCTTTACAGAAATATACATGTCTGAAGTTATTTGGGGAAACAGCAACAAAAAAACAACTGAGCACACAAAACCTGTAACTTCAGTGTTCTGCTTATCAAATGTCATTTTTCTCAACACTGCAAATACTGGCCACGTGGATGAGAAACATAATAACGATTCTCTACCATCTTACCTTCCTGTGCTTTGCCAGTATAGCACCATCAGGACCAAAGACAGCACAAGTATTATACAGCTTTCCACCATCCTCTTCTGGAATGGATCCTTTAGAAAGTAGAGAACAAAGGTTTACCCACCCCATTGTATTCTATAGAGTTTTGATTCAGTTGCAGCAGTAGACATTGCCCATTCACCCCTCAATGGAAGCAGTCACTAGGCATAAGCTACCTCCAACAAGATAGATGCTGCACTCCTTTGCAACTTCTGAGAGCTTCTGTGTCGATTCTCCAGGGATCTTCTCTGCGTATTCCTTGAAGTTTTGGGTTCCATAAGGAGAATTAAAGCATTCCTAGAACGAAAAAAGAATTAAGTTCAGATCTCAAAACCCTGGAATTCTTTTGCTGATCATCACAGCGCGTTTTCTTCATTTTTAAAAGGCAGCACTTTTAAAGATTACTTTTTTTTTTTTGCTAAGGACAATCACTTAGACACCATTTCCCCACAGCTGAACTGTACCTTTTGTCCTGGAGGAATCTCATCCATTTAAAATTTGTTGTCCCTCAGACTGAGGCATGTAATCTTTAGATGCTAATATTAACAGTGCTCTGTGTGGCACTCGAGAGGCCCACAGCAGTCACTTTCACTTGGCCTTATGTTTCCCAGCTCCAGGAGGATGTGAGACGCACCTCCCTCTGCAACCTCTGTCTCCTTCTAAGGGAGTTACAGCTGAAGGCCACAGATGGGATATCTAATAGCAGAGGCAATAGAACTGAACCAAAATCAGATGGAAATTGTTTGGCTGCATATATACGACGCTGGGCCAGCAGAGCTGGCCAATCCATAGCACAATTTGCAGGTCCAAGGAGGGAAGCAAGTCTCTGCAGACTGTCAGATCTGCTCCCTGGGCTTTTGAAATCTGGACAGCACTTCAAGGAAATGAAAGCACTGCCAGCTGCCCCCACCTTCATCTTGCTGCTTTTGCAAGGCAGTGCGAGTGGCACTGAAACCACAGACTCAGGAGAACAGGTGAAGATCTGTATGAGCTGCAGCAGCTCATGGGGCTGTGCTAGAACAGAACTGCAGATTGCACATATCATCTCGGCCCCTGCTCTCCAGATTGGGAAGAATGCGGGGACAGACCTTCGAATGGCTTTCAATCACATTCCAGATTAAAATGGATTCTGCTGTTATTATTCCTTTATCCATAAGTATTACAAAGCATTTTTCTTCCACATTTTTCTAGGTTCAGAAATCAAAAACACATGAAGACCAACACCACAAAAGAAATGGTCAATGAATTGTGAAAAGCTGTAGGCTGTATGCTTGGTGCATATTACTTCTTTATGTAGTGTGAATTCAAGGTGGAGGTGAGAATATTTCACCTCTTGGCGTTAGTACAAAGTTTACCTTCCCAAACAGAAAGTGCTTTTGTTTGAGAGGTTTTACGCTATGAACAGAAATTACTATTTGTTTGTACACACGACAGAAGTAGCAAATAATAGATAACTAGGAGGCCCAGACAGAGCAATCAAAGGTCATTTTTGCAATAAAAGCTGTGTTAGCACAAAAAAGAAGGGGAGGTTGCTTAATGTTTTGCCTGTGAGAGCGGGAGGGAGAAACATTCTTTGTGTAAAGCATTCAGACCAAAAGTTCACCCAGAAAAGAACTTTGCCCTCCTAAGTCAGATGCTGCAGGGCACAGTACGTGTACCTCCAGGTATGCTGGGAAGATCACCTCACTGATACAGAGAAACAGATATGAAGTCCAAAAAGGAAATCAAAAGCGATCAAAAATGCTGTCATTGAGTTTCCACACAAGAATGTTTTTCCCTTCTGTAGCCTCCTACAACATCCACGCATAGAATCACAGAATGGCCTGGGTTGAAAGGGATCACAATGATCATCTGGCTTCAACCCCCCTGCTATGTGCAGGGTCACCAACCACCAGACCAGGCTGCCCAGAGCCACATCCAGCCTGGCCTTGAATGCCTCCAGGGATGGGGCATCCACAGCCTCCTTGGGCAACCTGTTCAGTGCGTCACCACCTCTGTGTGAAAAACTTCCTCCTGATATCTAACCTAAACCTCCCAGTTTATCCAAGCATATCCAGAGAGAAACAGGAATAGACAATGCATAGTTAACAGTAAACAGAGGTTTGCCAAGAGTGTGAGATATAGGCATTTTGAATCACAATGCAAAATTGTGTTAAAAACACTTATTTAATTATGTAAATGATGATCTTTACTCACGGGCAGAGCCACAACTTTTGCTCCTTTGGCTGATGCTTCCCTTATCAGCCCACAGGCTCGCTGAAGGTTATCTGACTTGACAGCAGATACATGAAGCTGAATCAGTGCCAGGCGGAAGTCTATTGGCAGAAAAGAAGAAATTACCCAGCAGAATTCCCCCAGGTAGAACTTCATAACTTTAATTCATGAATGAGTGTGTAATGGAATAAATCTGCCCGCATGTGGACATAGCACAAACCACTTCCAATGGCTCTGCAGTGGCTGCATGACTCTGGAAATGGCCTCCTAGTGCAGGGAGGACCGCAACGATCATCTGGTTCCAACCCCCCTACTACGTGCAGGGTCGCCAACCACCAGACCGGGCCGCCCAGAGCCACATCCAGCCTGGTCTTGAATGCGTCTAGCGTTCCATTTCCAGCAGCAGGTGGTAGGGCAGGTTGTAGGACAGCACCCCCGGCCAGGTGTAGCCAACCGGGAACGAAGCGCTGCAGGCCCGCGGCAGCTCTGCGGTCATCTCCGTGACGGAGCCGGTGCCGCCGCGCCGCCCTTTACAACAGCCATTAGTAGGGCACACCCGCAGCGCCCCGACCCGCCCGAGCAGCGCCGCGTGGCCAGGAAGCGCCCTTCCAATCGACCCGCCGCGCCGGCGCCGCCACTCACTGGCCATGGCTCCGCGCGCCGCCTGCATCTCCGCGCTCCGCCCCGGCCGGGCGCATGCGCCCAGAGCAGCGCAAGGGCTGCTGGGAAATGTAGTCCCGGAGTCTGCCTACGGCTCAGGGCGGAGCAACAGCGCACCAGTAGACAAGTGACCAAGCAGAAGGGCTCGGCTCAGCTCCGCTCCTCTCTCAGCTCATTACAAGTACTCAGATTCTTCAAGATATCGCTATATAGTTCACCTGCACATGACATAATTCCTAATTCTCCCCTAATTATGTTTTCTATTTTATTTCTCCTGCTCGCACTCTCATGGCTAAGAAATGTGCTGTATGTTCTCAACGTTTTGTCAGTGCCATCTAAGTGTGTGATGCTGAGATGGGTGGAATTTACAGATACCTCCTCTGTGATCTGGTCATTTGTTATCTCGACCTTTTGGGAAAGCTGACCACGGTTCACCCAAAAGTATTTAATCCAATCAGTCAAAATTCCAGCATACTTACATTAACATGCTGCTGACAGCAGCTCCCCGTGATCCATAATCAACCACCTCTTCTGCAAACGACAGGCTGACTTCCACTCATAGCTCCCATTTACAGCATGCCTCTAAGAAAACCTGTTAACTGATTCAATGAATCCCACACTGTGCTGACAGAAATTATGTTCAAATTGTACTGGTTTATTTACATCCGTCGTTTATAAACAGTAACACAAACATCTTTACATGAAAAAAATCTCATTGCTGAAGTAGGCACGGAGTCAGAGACTCTTCAGGATATTTTCAGAAGGGAGGAGGAAGAGGAAAACGTAATACAACAGCTGCTGGGCAAAACTATAAATACACGAGAGTTGGCCCAGGTGCAATTTCATGCAAATATCTTTAACCGTTCAAGTTCTAATGGTGTTTACTCAGATAGTAAGGAAAAAAAAAAAGGAATTAGTTCCAGAATTAAGGTGCCCTAGCTTGATTCCTAGTAAAATAACTTAGAATAACTGGCTTTTATAAAGGTCAGTTTATTTTTTCTCCCGATGATGTACCAGTTCACAGGTTTTGACTCACTCAGAAAACTTCACACAGCAAAACTAACCCCTAACTTTTTAACTTCACAATTTTTGGTAATTTCCACAAAGCTGTCTACAAAGGTACTTTGCCTCAGCCATAAGGACATTCCTATACTGGGCTTCCTAGCAAGAGATCCATTCCTGTACCACATAGAAGGCCAGAAATGCACTATTACACAGCTGCCTTCTGTCAAACATTCACTAGCTTACAGTTATTAAAGGAGTATAAACAAATGTTGAACCAATGAAGGTGGCATTTATTGCAAGCATTTATTGCAAGTGCAAGCCACAGCTCAGGAAATCACTTTATTTGTATGCATTAATTTTGTAGCCACACCTTCAATCTTCAACACTCCTTTAGTCAACATAAACTCAATTCTGTGCTGAACTGAAGGCTTTTAAAAGCCTAACTTCTATTTTAGACATTTTACTTGACAGGAGCCAGACTGCTGGTTTTCCACTGCCATACGCACTTCAATGCGTGCACTCACCCTCACATGAGAAGCAATTTCAACCTATCAAATGTAAAATTTAGCATAATTAATGAAATCACAACCCTGTAGGAAAGGTTTATTGCGCATGGTTCGTTTTGGTATTTAAAGATACCCTTATATTCCATTCCAATTATTTAATGTATTTTTAATTTCGTAGGACTGCTAAAATGTTGATTTTCCAAATTACTGGCATTTCTTCCCCTTCATCTGCACTTGCCCATTTCTAACTGAAAGGAAGCACTATTCCTAAGATTTTATCTGCTCTGCTTACAAAGCTAAGTTTTTAATAGTTCAATTTATTACCCAATAGGCAAAAATCGAATTTATAGACTGTAGGCTATGGAGATATTTTGCTTTCAAATATCAGTCATTTAAAGCCATCCTGTCTTCTACTGCTTCTCCACTTTGCTTCGTTCTTGTAACATACTTGTATGAACCTAGCAGCACGCCCTCTTATAAATGTGCACATCACTCATATTAAAGGTGCATCACAGTGAAACAAACTGACCTTTATAATACGTACTTCTACAAAATAAAAGAAATTAAAAATCTTGTTCAGAAATTGGTAATAATTTACCCTATCTTAAGCCTGCTATCCAGGCACTCCCGTCAGTAAACTGAAAAAACACAAAGTTAGTATTCGATTGGGAAACCATCAGCTCATGTCCACATACAGTATCTTTGTTACTTCTTCTTTATAAACTCTTTTCTACAACGTCTTTAGTTATTAACTCTCCAAGGCATCCAATACTTTCATGATCTGTTGTTTTATGGCTTTGGTTGCATCACCTGCATTTGGAATCAGATACCTTAAAAAAAAAAAAAAAAGCCATCATTAATTCACTACAAAACTTTCAAGCATCAACTGAAATTCTTTCTTCCATTTTTCTTTCTTGCACAGATTAAGGGCAAAGCGAAGGGGAAGCTATTAAAATGAAGACCTACTGGGGAACTAACATTTATTTTTCACAAAACATTTTCGGCATGTGAAATTTTATCTGTTGAGAATTTCACAAACCATTCTAAAAAGAAAAATTCTTTATTAATTAACAATGGCAAAGATTGATTGCTACAGGTACCAATGTCTGACACATGTATGTCAGTCCTTGGTTTTCTTGTTTTTTATTCCTATGGATATCTCCAGGTAATTTAACTTGCCATCTTCTCTTTTGTATTTGCTTCAGTCAGTAAGCTGGTGAGGAAGTAATTCAACAAGCAGCATAGCTTTCTGCAATATGTTTAACTTACCTGTGTTGGACATAAGACCAAACTCATTTTACCCTAAGCAGCCAGCAGGTACAGACAAACTTTCCTGGTGAAGCAGGAAAGTCATCTCCCACTTATTCTAAAAACAGAGCGCTTGCTGCACACCATTTGCAGCAAGGAAAAGGATGAGGAAATGACCAACTGATGTCAGCAGCTTTGTTAAAGCAGTGTCAAGAAACAGGAGGCTTTGCTGATGAAAGCAAACAAACCAACATCTCCCTGGCATCTTCTCCAGGATAAAATATTTCAGTGCTAATCATGGCAGTGTCTAATTTTCAGAACTTAGGTTTTCAGGAGTTCGGAGTTTGAGATCAGACCCTTATACAAGATACAGGAAAAACGGAATGTCTCAAAAAGCATAGCACAGAAGGAGGACCTCTCCTTGAAATCCCACCCTTCAGAAAGCTGTACTTCAGGGAGCAGATACATGAAATGAAGGACAACTAAGGCATTACAGCAAGAAAACTCTCATATTCATCTCACCCTCAGCAACAGTCACTGGGGATCCTGGAGTTCCACCAGCTTGTTCTCCTTACTTTTTCACTCTACTGGCAGATATTCTTTCTAGCTCATATCTGAATATCTGCTCCTAAACAAAATCTATTACTTTTTAACTCGATTTTGGGAATTACAGCACACATCTGATTTCCAGCTGACAGCATCCTGTGTATCATTGCTACTAATACTGGTAGCTACTAAGAGGGCTTACCTTTCAACTGCCAAAATTTCTATGCCTGAAGTATTGCTATTTCCATATTTAAAGGTGATCAGTTCTGGGTGCTTCTTCTTGGATGTGATTTTGACTACAGAGTTGAGTGCCTGTCGAGACTGTATGTAAGCCAGCCCCTTCCGTGACGGAATCTCCCTCAAACAATACATGTGGGTTGCCGTTACTAGGAGGTGACTTGAAAGGAAAGAAAGAAGGCAATCACATTTTTTTGTTTCACTAAATATCAGCTACTTACAAAGCTAAATTTTACAAACAAGTCACACAGAGAACTAGGTAGAACAGTCTGCAAATCTACGAAACGATTTGGTACTTCTGTCAATTAGGTATGTCTACAAAATACTTCCAATTTTCCCAGAGTACTGCATCATAACCATTTTTAAAAACAAGCATGGCAGCCTCATAACATACATAATCAGATTGAGCAGTTTGCATCATCACCTCATCACAAACGTTATGAGTGCTATCAGTATCAAAAACCACCTGGAACAAGTCAGGTCATGCAGTGTGGGGAAAATGTCTCCAGCTTTTGTCTTCCATCCTTCAGTCATACCCCAATGCCATCTCTTCATCTACAGAGTTGCAACTCTACATGTGAAGCATCAGACCTATGCCATGACTGACTGTCGCTATGAAAGCATTAATGTGGAACTGCTCACTTGCCCACTCAGTTCAAGACCCACTTTTGGCTTCTTCCCAGAAGCAATGCATGTGTGTGACCATGTGCAAGCTGAGTGACAGATCACTCCACGTTTCATATGGCATATAATTTTATGCTTCCATTTGGTTTATGTTAACAAAAAATAAAAGACATTAACAGACCATGATGAAAGAGAACGACCATCGTAATTTTCTGTTATCCACATTCAGTAGGATTTGTACTCTTTAGGGAAGCTAAAATGTAGTAAGCATAGAATTCCAGAATGGCTTGGGTTGGAAGAGACCTTAAAGCCCATCCAGTTCCAACCCCCTGCCTTGTGCAGGGCTGCCAACCACCAGCTCAGGCTGCCCAGGGTCTCATCCAACCTGGCCTTGAACACCTCCAGGAATGGGGCACCACAGCTTCACTGGGCAGCTGTGCCAGGGCCTCACCACTCTCTGAGTAAGGAATTTCTGCCTAACATCTAACCTAAATCTCCCTAAAGCATCATTTTCTGCTCTTGCAGGTTAAACAAGGTCACTGAATCTTAGGGGCAAGATGAGCAAACAGTACAAGGCAGAGAGCTAGATAAGAAAAAACTGAATAACTGATACTCAGGTCTACCTGTTTTGAAAGTAAGCCTACGTATACTAAGAACATTTTTCTTCCTTTCTTGTTTTGCAAAGTAAACCTTCATACTATGTTTTGTACATAATTAACACTGAAAACACAAGAATGGAAATATAGTGGTAATATTTTGTTCTTATGTTGCTTCACATCTTCATTTTCTGATATAGTATTAAGAACAGTTTAACTGCTTGAGCATATTTTTAGAAGTGTATTGAGACAGACATGTTCATAAAGTTTAGGACTAA